AAGGCAATGAATAAGCAGTGTTGTTGTTTATTTTTATGAAATTTTCAGAGGTAGTCTCGGATTTTTGCTTATATCTCCGTTGTTTATGAACGGATTTTGCTGATTTTAAATAGGAAACTTCTCGAAAGCATGTCTGATAGAATTATTGAAGATTTGGATCCCGAAGATATCTGGGGTCTTCAGAAAACTGATTTCAACAGACAGACGGACGGACAGACAGACGGACATGGCTTAATCGACTCCGCTATCTATAAGGATTCAGAATATATATACTTTATGGGGTCGGTAAATTATATTTTGGAAATTACAAACGGAATGACAAACTTATATATACTCTTCTCACGAAGGTGAAGGGTATAATAAATATCTGTGGTGTAATCTATCATCCAAATTGTAGTAGTAAACGAGAGTGGTTCTTATAAAGTAGACGAGAGTTGTTAAAGTAGACAAGAGTTTACTATGTAGAGTTGACAAAGTAGACAATAGTCGTCGAGGGTCGTCTTTATAAAGTAGACTATTAAGTATATGCAAGTCTAATTTATTAAGTAGAAGAGAGTTTATTTTATTAAGCAGATGAGAGTATTTTCTACAGTGTTGTCAACTATTTTATACTAAAACGCGCCGTCCATTCACTCAAAACGCACTAAAAAGCGCTAAAATTATATTTTTACACAGTCTTAAAAAATATAGTATTTAGCTAAAATTTGTTTATTAAAAAAATTACTCCTTAATTGGAATTTTGATTCGGGAACGAAATTTAAAAAAATAAGGTTAATACAAATATGTTGGATTTTCCTATTTAATGACTAATTGCTATCATCGATCAAGATTTCAATAACTAGTCAAAGAGATTTTTTGTAATTCCCCATAATAAATTTTAATTAAACTCTTCATTTCCAAAAATACCAAGAGCCAAAACTTTGTGAAAAAAACTGAAGTAATCGTCAAGTAATTGTTTCCTTCACAGTGAAGTTATAAAAAAATAATGCTAAATTTTTGTGAATCAAACTTTGTGCGATCAAAATTATTTTTGTATTATTAAAATATCAATAGTTTTCACGAAATGCAATTTTAATTTTAAGTTCAAGTTAACCTAACTAAAATTGAGTTAATTTACAACTTTTCCCTTTTTTGACGTGAAAAACTTCCCTTGTTGTGAATTTTTATAGAATTTTCTGATCAATAAAAAGCTGTTACGATCAAAATCAACTGTTGTGGAATTTCACAAAATCAATTTTCCCTTCGAAGGGAATGAAAATTTAAGAAGAAACTAATTTCAATTCTTTTGGCGAAAAACGTGAATATTTTTTATTTTAGTTTTAAAGTTTTAAAATAACTCATCACACTAAAAGATCTTTGAATTACTCATAATATGGAAAGTTTAGAAAAAGGAACTTTAATAAATTTGTACGGCAGAGTACTGTCTAAAATTATTCCGTTTTATCTTTATTGTTAAACTAGAATAATTTTATGTTATTAAAAAGATTTTTCATTTCTTGAAAAAAGCGCTAATTTAGCGCCTTTTTCCAAAAAAGCGCTAATTTAGCGCCTTTTTCCAAAAAAGCGCTAAGAGGAAAAAATGCGACTTTTGGATTGTTAAAAGGCGCTAAATCTAGCGCTAAATTGGCAACGCTGATTTTCTATTAAGCAGATGAGAGTATTTTCTATTAAGTAGATGAGAGTCTACTCTATTAAGTAGATGAGAGTATAATTTATTAATCAGTCAGGAGTTTATCCAAAGAACACATTTGCAAATTCAAAACAACATGATTATGATATTCAATCTGGGTAAAAGTTATAAAAATAAAGATAGTAAATAAATTAGCAAATTTAGAGAAAAAAAATCTTTTTTTTTAACAATTACAAATAATATGACCTTCAACATTAATTATACGAAAGAAAAAAGTAGAACAATAAACTTAATATTCAGAATATGTATGAAAATTATAAGATAAAAACAAATCATCTCTTGTTGTGCTTTGTGCAGAATATTAAAGATCAATCTTAAATATTAATGACAATTATTTGTTGTTTTTACCAATAATTATTCATCGAAAGGAAGGGAAAAACTGTTTTTTTTTTTTTAGAAAAACAATGATAACAAATAATGGTATCTTGAATTTTACAAGATAATTATAAGTTAACAGAAAAGTTATAAATGAAAGATAGACTGAATGTTGAAGAATATTTAAATTTTAATATTAGTTGTTAAAAAACTTTAGCACCGGAAAGAGTCATGTATAACTATAGTCCGCCATTTATTGTGATATTAGTCATAGTAATATTAAATCTAACGGAAGTGATAAATAGTCAAGGTAGTAAAAGAATTATTAATTGTTTTTAGTTAGTTTGAAAAATCCCATTTTAATATTTTCCAGTTTATCCTGATCAAACTTTGACACGTTTTGCTTATATACGTAAATTATATCCAAAACTTTCAACGGTGGGTGAGGCCCGCTATTGGCGTTTGGCTCGTAATGATAATTTAAAAGATCATCCCTGCAAACGTGAATGTGTGGCCAATCAACATATGACCTGTTATTATTATATGGTTGTACATTATGATGAGACAATGGGTCCTGGTTGTGTTCGATATTTAAATGCTAAAAATCGTTATAAATATGGTAATCGAGAATATATAAATCCGTATAATGTTCAAGAATCAAGTGAAGCTGGTGATTTTGATGATTGTAAATATGCTGATGGTGAGCGAACAGAGATAATGGTGGTCAATGGTCAATTGCCAGGTTAGTAGTAAAATAAACGGGGGAACGGTAAGGTTTTGTTTTATTTTCTAAGAAAACGGAATGAAGATTTTTCTATACATTCCAAAAGGAGAAGAGAGTCCATTTTAAAAATTGCGAGAGTCTCTTTTATAAAGTAGACCGGAGTCTATTCTATAAAGTAAATGAGAATCTATTTTATAAACTAAGAGTCTTTTCTGTAAAGTAAACGAGAATCTTTTCTGTAAAGTAGACGATAATTTATTCTAAAAAGTGGAGGAGGGTCTTTTCTATGAAATAGATTGGAATATTTTTTATAAAGTCGAATAGGCGAAAGTTTTTTCAATAATGTAGACAAAAGTCTATATGTACTATAATTTAGACGACAGTATTTTCTATAAAGTAGACGAATCTATTCAATTACAAAAGAAGAAGAAGGTCTATTCTATAAAGTAAAAGAGTGTTTATTATAATAAGTAGAGTCTACTCTAAAAAGTAATCTTCTAATCTAGGTCTTTTTCATATTCTTAAGGTTCATTTTCTAAGAAAAAATTAATAACCTTTTTACTCTTTATATTTTAGGTCTTGCCATAGAAGCGTGTTATGGTGATACCATTGTAGCTGATATAATCAATAGTATGCATGAAACTACCACCGTACATTGGCATGGTATACATCAGACTACTAATCCACATATGGATGGTGTACCACATATAACACAATATCCCATAGAACCGGGACAAGCTTATCGTTATCGTTTTGAGGTCGATCATGCTGGTACACATTGGTGGCATAGTCATACTGATCACCAGAGAGCATTTGGTTTAGCGGGAGCTATGGTAGTGCGCCAGACGCGTAAAGAAAATGTGCATGCTCATTTATATGATTTTGATTATACGGAACATATAATAATGATACAAGATTGGATGAAAGATTTAGATGAATCAAGACCAAAATCTATACTAATAAATGGCTTGGGACGCAATCTAAAGGATACGACAAAACCAGCTCTATATGCCAAATTTACAGTGGCTCGTGGTGGTCGTTATAGATTTCGTTTAATATTTAATGGAGTTACCAATTGTCCTGTCTCGTTTAGTATAGATCGTCATGATCTGGTGGTGATATCAAGTGATGGTAATGATATTGAACCTATAGTGGTGCAAAAGATTACTTTACATGGTGGTGAACGTTTTGATTTTGTGTTAAATGCCAATCGTGATTTGGGCAATTATTGGGTACGTGTTAAAGGTTATACATTTTGTGCTGCGGATCAATTACATCAAGAGGCGATTTTACATTATATTTCAGCAGATCGTTTGGCCATGCCATCAGGGCCAGAACCTAGCTATACGTATGAGCCCGCAAATGCTGTAGAGTTTAATGGTTTCGATGTTAGTACTTCGGCCCTTCGTAAACGTTTTGGTTTTAATGATGCCAAAGCTTTACTATTGAAAAATAAACCCACACAAAAACCCGATATCACACTATACACCAGCATGAATGTGGTAGTACGCGGTGGTTCTTTTCTATTTCAAATGGATGACATTACTTTCACTATGCCAAAAGTATCAATGTTACAAACTCGTAATTTGGGCATTGGCAAACTATTTTGTAATCGTACTCAACAATTAGGGTTGGGCTTTAATTGTCTGAAGCGGCATTGCAAGTGCACGAATGTTTTACAAGTTCCGGCTTTTAAACACATCGAAATAGTCATATCGGGAAAGTCAAATACTGCACATCCAATACATTTACACGGTTATACGTTTCGTGTTGTGGCTATGGGTGTATTGGGTGAAGATAAAATTGATAAGGTGAATATTTGTGATTTTCTCTCTATTACATTATAATATGTACATATAAACATTACCATCATAATAGTAAAGATTTGAATAAGTGGAATTTTCCAATCAGAAAACTAATTTAAACATTTCTGGTTTTCTTTATAATTACAGATAGAAGAAATTGATAGACGTAATCCCCTGCCACGACGTCTTACCAAGGCTCCCCTAAAAGATACCGTGCAAGTACCGGCCTATGGCTATACCATCATACGTTTCTATGCCAATAATCCCGGCTATTGGATACTACATTGTCACATTTCTACACATGCCGAAATGGGTATGGCAGCAGTGTTGCGTGTGGGTGAAGATAATCAAATGAAAATGTGTCCCGTTAGTAATTGTGGTTTATGTAATTCAATGACTTAAAATATAATTTAAACAAAGAAAAGGAAAATTTCAATATTAATATTATCGTGTAATTTATTTGTATAGAATAGTTAATTTAACATAAAGGTAAAAGTAATGCTACAAATCTATGCCTTCTTGGGCAGCTAAAATGGCTTTAATTTTCATAAGTAATTCTTTTTTAACAGCATCTGGTACTATGGCTCTTGCCTTGGGTGTTACTTCCGATATTAATTGTTCCACTTTGACATTGCTACCTTTCTCTTTGATAATGGTGCGACACATAAGACGTACCTCGTCACGCCAACCGCATTCAGCCAAACGATTGCAAAGTAAATCTTTAAGTCTGCCAGTTTTAAAAGAATAAAAAGTTTTAGAGAATCCTTTGCAAGTTTGGTTATTTCAACTTACTTGGATCTATCACCACTTAAAATTGTCATTTGATCTACGGTTTTTGTTAAAGTCATTTTATTTCGTATAGGACTTATTTTGGCTGTTTTTATTGTATAATAGAAAGTACCGTTAATATTTAATAAAAAAACTAAGTTTTGCAGAATGATTTTTCTTTCACAATTTCGCTAAAAAACTAAAATTTCTGTTTGTTTACATTGATTACACTGCATTATCGTCTTATAGACAATAACACAACAGAGTTGCATTTTAAAGGTAAATTAGAAATGGCAAATTTTAAATCGCCAAATAAACAAAACAATAGGAAATCTCTAGTTTTATTTTTTAATTTATAAAACTAATTTTAAATGGTAATAAAATTCGAATGTTTTGATAAATTGTGTGTTATTAGAATCAAAGTACTTGGATTAGAATCTTGAGTAGAAACTATCGCGTAATTTATAGAGTGGATGCCATATCTAGTTATATAGTAGATACTGGTCTATATTTTATAGTAGACCCTCGTCTACGCTATAGATCACATCTTATTTAATTCATTAAATAATTTAATTTATAGGTGACAATTCCTTAATATAAAGTAGTCTATAAAGTCGACGTGAGCTCTTTCTATAATGAAGACGAAAGAATTTTCTGTAAAGTAGAATAAAGTAGGTGAAAGCATTTTCTATAAAGTAGTCTATTCAATTCTAAAAGCAACCGGGGGTGTATTTTACAAAGTAGATTAGCATTTATTATTCTAGAGCCTATATTAAATAGTCGAGAGTATGTATACTCTATAAAGTAGTGTTTTAATCTAGGTCCTTTTAATATTCAAACTGTAAGACAAAATTAACCTATTTTGCTGTACCTCTTTTATCGTATATACCCGTTTATCAAATTATAACGATTTTTAACATTTAAACATCAGGACTGCTGTATAAATTCAAATTGGCTTATATATTTTCACATTATCATATTACCAAGAAAAAAAAATGGACACAAAGTCCCGTTATCTGGCAGCCTTTCTTTTATGTAAACCTTAATTTACTTTTAACAATAATTTAAATAACAATTAAAACTTACAACTTACCATTTACTATAGCTAAACATGTAAATATCGCACACAACACATATTAAAAATTAAAACACACTAATAAATCACTTTTTTCTTAATTAAAACTCTGTACATTTAATTTACGCCACAAAACTGTTTTATCTCTTTACAATGACACTTTTACAGGCTAGCCAACATTTAAAATTCCAAAACAGTGCTGCCATTTCTATAACCCATCTGCTAACTAAACACAGCTTAGCAGTGCTGGCAACTTTGAAAGGCAGACGAAATCAATGAAAACGAAGTAGGCGTCGTCTGTAATTGTTCGCTAGCGTATAAATACAAGTGTAGCCCAAAAATTTGAATCATTCGATATCAGTTTGGAAAGCTTCATAGCCGGCTGCTCTGAACTTAACGTCAATACAATCAATAATCTCAATTTCTCCTTGTGTGTGTTAAAAGAAAAACTAATTTATCAAAATGGTAAGTTTTGTTTGTAAATGGAGGAAAATTATTTAACAAAATAAACATCTTCAATTGTTTAAATTAGCAGTTAAAAACATTGTGACCAAAAAAAATTACACCAAAATTAATTGTCGCCTAGCGAAAAATTGAAAATGATCTAGAAATTTGCCATGTGTTTGTTGTAAAGTGTTTTAAAAATAAATTCCTAAAATTGTTGAGTAAATAAATAAATTGCTAAATAATATGTAAAGAAAAACAATTATACCGGCTAGCCTGCAAATTTTCTTAGAAAATTTCATTAACAAAATATACATTTTCTTGTGCAAAATTTTCTCTACCTCTTGAAGCCGGCCGCACCCATACATTAGCAAGAATAAGAAAAAAAAAATAGTAGAGAGCAGCAAAAGTTGACGTCATGTTTTTTTCTGCTAATTAACTAATGTCATTATGCGAAAATAATTTCACATTTTTTAACACAACTTGTTTTCTCTTTTTTTAACTTTATAGCGTGAATGTATCTCTATCCATGTTGGTCAAGCTGGTGTACAAATCGGTAACGCCTGCTGGGAATTGTACTGCTTGGAACATGGCATCCAGCCTGATGGTCAGATGCCTTCTGATAAGACTGTCGGCGGTGGTGATGATTCTTTCAACACCTTCTTCAGCGAAACTGGCGCTGGCAAGCATGTGCCCCGTGCCGTTTTCGTTGATTTGGAACCCACTGTAGTCGATGAGGTGCGTACCGGTACCTACCGTCAATTGTTCCACCCTGAACAATTGATCACTGGTAAGGAAGATGCCGCCAACAACTACGCTCGTGGTCACTACACCATTGGCAAGGAAATTGTTGACTTGGTCCTCGATCGCATCCGTAAATTGGCTGATCAATGTACCGGTCTCCAAGGTTTCTTGATCTTCCACTCCTTCGGTGGTGGTACCGGCTCCGGTTTCACCTCCTTGTTGATGGAACGTTTGTCTGTCGATTATGGCAAGAAATCCAAATTGGAATTCGCCATCTATCCCGCTCCCCAAGTGTCCACCGCTGTTGTAGAGCCCTACAACTCCATTTTGACTACCCACACAACCTTGGAACACTCTGACTGCGCCTTCATGGTCGACAATGAAGCCATCTACGACATCTGCCGTCGTAACTTGGACATTGAGCGTCCCACTTACACCAACTTGAACCGTTTGATCGGCCAAATTGTTTCCTCCATCACCGCCTCTTTGCGTTTCGACGGTGCCCTCAACGTTGATTTGACTGAATTCCAAACTAACTTGGTGCCCTACCCACGTATCCATTTCCCCTTGGTCACCTACGCTCCCGTCATCTCAGCCGAGAAGGCCTACCACGAACAGTTGTCGGTTGCCGAAATCACCAACGCCTGTTTCGAACCCGCCAACCAGATGGTTAAGTGCGATCCTCGTCACGGCAAGTACATGGCCTGTTGCATGTTGTACCGTGGTGATGTTGTGCCCAAGGATGTCAATGCCGCCATTGCCACCATCAAGACCAAGCGCACCATTCAATTCGTTGACTGGTGTCCCACTGGCTTCAAGGTCGGTATTAACTACCAACCACCCACTGTTGTGCCCGGTGGTGATTTGGCCAAGGTACAACGTGCCGTCTGCATGTTGTCCAACACCACCGCCATTGCCGAGGCTTGGGCTCGTCTCGATCACAAGTTCGATTTGATGTACGCCAAGCGTGCTTTCGTCCACTGGTACGTCGGTGAAGGTATGGAAGAAGGTGAATTCTCCGAAGCCCGTGAAGATTTGGCTGCCCTCGAGAAGGATTACGAGGAAGTCGGTATGGACTCTGGTGACGGTGAGGGCGAAGGTGCTGAAGAATATTAAGCAGCCAAACCCATCATCGACGACCATCAAAACCAAAAAGACAGAAGAAGTGTGTATTGAAAAAATTCTCGACCTATTAGCTGAAACTACTCAACTAAACATTCAATATACTTTTTTTTTAAAACAAACTGTTATTTTAAAAATGATAACGAATCCAAAAAAAAACCCTTGTAAATTTTTTTTATTTTCAAATTTGAAAAACATGAATGAAAAGAACAAATTTTAAAGAAATGCACTTTAAAAACACGAAAAAAAAACAAGAACCTAATAAAATGAAAGGCTTAAGCTGCATTGAATGAAAAAATTCCAAAACAAAACTTTAAATGTCTTTAATTATTAATGGGCTAGAAGAGGGAAACTAAAAATAGTTTTTAAGGGAAATGGGGAAAAAGCAATTGTTAAAATGCTTGGCAAAAGTTTAATGAACTTGCTTTATAGAGGAAACTATAAAAATGCATAGTGAGTGCACTTGTTTGGCCTCTTTTTCGATTGATACAAGAGGAAGACGAACAATTTTAAAAATGAGTTTTTCAAGTGGAAGAGATAGATTTGTATGAACTTATAAAGAAAACATTTTGAGAATTTAGCTATACAGTTAAATTACTTCCGTCATACTCAGATTTCTTTTAGCTATAGATGACTCATTAATGAATCGTTGGTTTTATTTTATGATTCCCCCCCTCCAAACAAGTACAGTTTTTTTTTCTATATACCTACTCAGCGTTCTATTTTTGTTAGCAACAGCTCTGCCAGCTGCTTGTTGCCTTTCCATAGAGTTTTGTTGTTGCTGTGTTGGTCTTAAAATTATATGAAGCATTTTATGTGGTGGGTTTTATAACTATTTTTGTTTGGATAGATATTTTTTTTCTGTACTGTAACTCACAACACATTGCCTTTTATGGTCATATATGAATGAGTAAATATAGTATCTACCACGATGATTTCATTTACATTTTTAGAGTTTACATTAGAAAAAAATGTTTGAATTTTGTAGGAAATCACTGCCCACCAAGTTTTAAAGTTGTTTGTTTGATTTTTGTGGAATAGTGGGGTTTTAAGACAAATTTGAAGTTAATTCTTATGTTTTTAAGGCGCTAAGATCAAAGTATATTTGTTTTAGTAATGTAAAGTAATATTTTCTGCTTGATCAATTATAAAGTGTTTACTTTTGTATGTAAACTAATTTTGTAATCCATACAAAGATTATAAAATTAAAGATCCCGTAGTGGAATAGTTCCCAAGAAAGGGGTATAGCTTATTTTATTATATTATTCACACTAGAAGACGGATTATACATTGCATTGGCAGGGATATTGAAAACGTAGTAGCGCATATCATTTAGCTCATAAC